TCTTTGTCCCCAGGTCATAGCTGCTTAAGACACTATATATAGAGATCTTAGTTGAATGAGACAAGTGACTCCCAGCTGTGCCCTGCAGATAGGCCTTGGGTGCAGCCATGGTTTGTAGATTCCCCTGAAGAAATTCAAGCAACACACATGTATTTGGTACTCACTAAGTGCCTACAGAGCCAAACCGAAACTGGGCCCCACTGGGGAGGAGATCACCATGGAGACAGGAGGGCGTACTCATGGAGACTTGGGACGCAGGAGGGAAGCGCTCAGGGAGCACTGAAGGGCCAGGCTGGTGCTGCAGGGGATGGGTCTGGATCTCGGGTCACCCTGGCTCTGGGCCCTGGGGGCTTCCTCTACCTCTTTCTTGGGGTTTTGTGTAGGTGTGGATGGATGCGGGCACCCAGATCTTCTTCTCCTTCGCCATCTGCCAGGGGTGCCTGACAGCCCTGGGCAGCTACAACAAGTACCACAACAACTGCTACAAGTGAGAACAGCATGGGCCGGGGTGGGGCGAAGGAGGGCGAGGGGCCTGGGGGTGGGCTCTGGACAAAGACCCATCATCGCTGGGCTCATTATAAGTTGTGTCAAACTGACCTGGTGGGTTCAGTTCCCAGACTAAGTGTCTGTCTTATTCCTTTTCTCTCTCACTTCTCTCTTTGTTGTCTGCCACCCAATTTTTGTCTTTTTCTTCCACTATCTTCTTCCCATCCTCGCTTCCCTTCCTCCCCTCCTCTGTGCCTCCCTTGCCTTCCCCTTCTCTCTCCTCGGTCCCCTCTCGCTGTCTGTTGCCCTCTCCTCCTCTCTTTTCCTCGCCGTTCCTATCTGCCCTTGCCCCACTCCCACAGGGACTGCGTCGCCCTCTGCTTCCTGAACAGTGCCACCAGCTTTGTGGCTGGGTTTGTTGTCTTCTCCATCCTGGGCTTCATGTCGCAAGAGCAGGGGGTGCCCATTTCTGAAGTGGCCGAGTCAGGTAGGTGCCACTTTGCTGTCTGGGGCCTGAGGGGAAAGAGAGTCAGAGAACATACTTCCCTCCTGCTGAAAGGCGTGAGTCCCAGAAGATGGGCAATGTGATTTATTTATGGGTAATAGGATTTAATTTTAGCATCTGGGGCAGTGCTTAGCACAAAGCAGGGCTTCCATTACCATGGGAAAGAGGAGGGGGAGGATGATGGATGCTAGATGGACCAACACTGGATGGATGGAGGGAGGGATGGATGGATGGATGGAGGGATGGATGGATGGATGGATGGTTGGATAGATAGATGGATGGTTGGATGAACGGTGTGCTTCCCAGGCCTGGAAAGAGAAGAATAGTGGATGGAATCACCCTTTCCTCTTAAAGTGCGTGCACAGGTACACACGCACACAGTGCTTAGAGAGACGCCTCTTCCCCGAGGGCAGCGCATGCCCTGGAGCCCCCCTGACTGTGCTGTGTGCCTGGCAGGTCCTGGGCTGGCCTTCATCGCCTTCCCCAAGGCTGTGACTATGATGCCCTTATCCCAGCTGTGGTCCTGCCTGTTCTTCATCATGCTCATATTCCTAGGGCTGGACAGCCAGGTACGTCACTGCCGCCCGGCCTGCCCTGCCATGGTCACCCTCTTGCCAGCCTCTGCCTGTCCTGACACTACTTTCCCCTCACTCCCACTCCCCTGACCATAAACTTGAGGCCCCCTCTGCTGTCCAGGGCTTTTCCTTGGGGCTGGGAGTGTGGCCCCAAGCCTGGAGACCCTCTGGTGTGAAGGGGCCATGGGGCTGGGGGTGTGGCCTCAAGCCTGGAGACCCTCTGGTGTGAAGGGGCCATGGGGCTGGGGGTGTGGCCCCAAGCCTGGAGACCCTCTGGTGTGAAGGGGCCATGGGGGTGTGGCCCTAAGCCTGGAGACCCTCTGGTGTGAAGGGGCCATGGGGCTGGGGGTGTGGCCCCAAGCCTGGAGACCCTCTGGTGTGAAGGGGCCACTGGCTCTGTGCTCCCAGGCGTGGGCCTCGGCATGCATGGATGCTTCCTCCCAGATAGTCCTTCAGCTCGAGCTGCCCAGCCCCAGCCCCTGAGCCCTGGGGACAGAACATATCCCCCTTCTAACCCTCACTGCTGAGACTCTGTCATGGAGTTGTAGTCATGGGCGGAGCTGGCTCACCCCCGGGCACCCCCATTTCTTCCCTTTGTGCCACTCTCTGCACCCCTGTGCATCAATGTGGATGAGCCGGGGAAGCGGAGGCCAGGGCCGGTGGCCACCAGCTTGCCCCACACCCTCTCATCCAGTTCCCCTCCTGGCCCACAGTTTGTCTGTGTGGAGTGCCTGGTGACAGCCTCCGTAGACATGTTCCCCAGGCAGCTCCGGAAGAGCGGGCGGCGGGAGCTCCTCATCCTCACCATCGCCGTCACGTGCTACCTGATAGGGCTCTTCATGGTCACCGAGGTGAGCTGGGGCCGGTGGCCTGCAGGCCAGGCTCCCGGAGAGGGAGCCACGGAGGACGCTGCTGACCCTTCTTAGAGCCTCACTTTTCTTATCTGCTGATGCGGGGTGTGGACGCCTGCCCTGCCTCTCCACAATGAGGTTGTACGGACCACACGACCTGCATTTGTGAGGTCTCTTTTGGTTGCAGGTGACAGAAACCAATACAGCTGGCTTAAGCAGAAAGGGGAACGTATTGGGTCAGTTTGCTGAAAACCCTAGAGATATTTGGGTTTCGGCGTGGTCAGATCCAGCTGCTCTTGTGACACTGTCAGGAATGCTCCTTGCTCTCCTGGGACTTCACTCAGAGGCAGGTTTTCCTCCGGTGGCGTTAGGGACGGATGCTGGGCTTCAGGCTTACCTGTCAATGTCAGCCACACTCAGAGGCAGGTTTTCCTCCGGTGGCGTTAGGGACGGATGCTGGGCTTCAGGCTTACCTGTCAGTGTCAGCCAACCCAGGGGGAAGGGGAGGCCCTTTCCTGAGAGTGTGGCAAGTGTCCAGGCTGTGACTCTTATTCAAGCCTGGAGTGGAGAGAGAGGGACACCCCACCCTAAAAGGAACACAGAATGAGGGGGTGTCACTTTCCAGAAGCAGAGATGCTGGGCAGACGAAATGATGTGAGTCCACCACAGTCTCCCAGTGCCCTTGCAGATGTCAGAGGCTATTGTCCTGATGTTGATTGGGAGGCCTGAAGGCGGGGCAGGCAGGGCAAACTCCTTTTAGAGGCAAGGAATGGCGTCCCACGGGCCGGGCAGGAGGGCGCCCCACAGGGGCATTTCCCATCTCACCGATGGGCGGCGTGTGTCCCATCCCTGCACTGGCCATGCCCCAGCTCCACGCTCTCCCCACAGGGCGGGATGTACATCTTCCAGCTGTTTGACTACTATGCTTCCAGTGGCATATGCCTGCTGTTCCTCTCAGTGTTTGAAGTGGTCTGCATCAGCTGGGTGTACGGTGAGTGGGGTGGAGTGGGGTGGGCAAGCGGGGCGGGAGAAAGACCACCGAGGCCAGCCAGGGGCAGGCTCTGCCTGGGAGAGGCGGTTCTCTGGCCCTCTGGTTTCTGTCTGTCTTTGCGCTGTTGCCCTGCCTCTTGCTGGGACATTTACCTGTGGCTGGGAAGCCTGGCATTTTCATGGCAGCAGGCAGAGCTGTAATGATGACAAAATGGATTTCCTTCAACAGTGAGAGAATGATCAATAACGGTGCACAGGGCACAGTGTCCTCGATATGGAGGTGGCCAGAGGCCCTTTGCCACTGGGAATCTTAGTCTGAAGGGATGTTTATCGCCACTTAGCCCAATCCTCCACAAACTCCCACACTGCCCTTCCAACAACTAGGGGATCACCCAGACTTTGTCTGAGTACTTCCACGGACACGGAGCTCATCCCTGTGTTTTCCGGGGGGATCACCCCGACTTTGTCTGAGTACTTCCACGGACAGGGAGCTCATCCCTGTGTTTTCGGGGGGGATCACCCAGACTTTGAGTGCTTCCACGGACAGGGAGCTCATCCCCGGGATCACCCAGACTTTGTCTGAGTACTTCCACGGACAGGGAGCTCATCCCTGTGTTTTCGAGGAGGTCTTTTCCATTTATGCATTTCTTTCCTACACTAAGGTGAATTCTGCCTTTCACTGGCCCCCACCAGCAGCCTGGCCCCTCAGACTGAGATCACTGCAACAGCCAGGTGGTAACTCTGTCCTACAACAGGAAGGGGAGGAAACCCGATTTACTGAGCCAATGCGCGACTGCGTGCCAAGCACTCTGCTGGCTGGTCTCACGCACTTATAATCTGTGCAGGGGGAGAGTGAGGCTCAGAGGGTTCAGCCTCTTGCCTAAGCTCACATAGCAAGCAGAGAAGCCGTCGTCATACCCCAGGTCCCTCTGGCTCCACTGCACCACGCTGGGGGAACACAGTGCCAGTGTCACAAGGCTCAGGGTAGAGGTCAAGTGGGGGCCACACAGTAGGGCCTCAGGAAAAGCCATGAGTAGTAAAGACTTTAGTTTGCTACCCTAAGCCTTCCCACTTGGGTCCTTTCCTCTGCATGGAGATGTTCCTTCCTTCTCACCTCAGGCATCTGACGCCTTCCGATCTTCCCCAGCTCCTTTTCAAAACTTCTTCTCCGAGAGGACCTGCTAAACTTGATCACAGCGGGTGTGAATGGCTGATAAGCCTTAACATGGTTCGCTCACCCGGCAATATCTGGCTTTTAACTTTGGCTTTTCACAGTCAAAGGAATGACTCTTTCATGGTGTGATTTCATGCATCAGGGATCAGTGGGAAGGTATTTTGGGTGGGAAGGTAGAGAGGCCCTCCAAGTATCTTTACCAATCAGTGATTCTTTACTTAGAAGACTGGCTCTGCCCAGAACTTACAGCAAATGTGGAAACCTCAGGAATTAAACAGAACAAAATAAGGCCAGTCAATGTTTTCACTAAACACAAGTTAACCTTCTTACCATGCGTTTCTGGGAACTCAGAGTGGTTCCTCCGGAGTCTGGAATCCAGACCACCGCTCTGTTCCCAGCAGCCCTCCAGCCCTCTGTGAGTTTTCTGTGACACGCTTGAACGGGGGAGCCTTGTCGTTTCGCTGCTTTGACTTGAACCAGTTTCATCTCTGCTACCCACGTAAACAGGCGTTTGTCTAAAACACACCCCTCCTTTGTGGTTAGGACAGTGGGGTCTCCATCGTAACACGGAGGCAAGAGACGGCACTGACAAGAGACGGCAGCAGCAGTGCTTGGGGGCAGCCCCTGTCTGCGCAGCACTCCCTGCCTCGTGACTGGAATGCATCTCGTGCAGGGATGCAGGGTGTCAGGGAGGCGTCTCACTCACGTGCCTTGTTCCAGTTTCCCTGCACAGGGCGGGGGTGAGGGAAGAGCACAGAGCCAAGTGGGTCTCTCCCAAACACCGGGCAGCTGTTCTCACCCTCTGGCTCACGCTCTCCCACACCACGTCTGCTCAGGGGCGGACCGTTTCTATGACAACATTGAGGACATGATTGGCTACCGGCCATGGCCCCTGGTGAAGATCTCCTGGCTCTTCCTCACCCCTGGACTTTGCCTGGTATGTGCCCACCCAGCTGCCGCTCTGTTCCTTCCTGCCCCCGGAAGACTCCAGAGATGAGGGAAAGGATGGCTCTTTCCCCACCCGTCCCGTCTACCATGGGGCCTGGTCCGTTTCCCGTTCTCTGTTGGCTTCCCTGCTCTTCTTTCCGGGCCATTTCATCCATCCATGAGTAGAATCTTATCCTACTTCCTGCTCCATCCCTTCCTCACAGTGCCTCCCCCTTCTACCTGATTTCTCAGTGGTTGGTCTCCTGTCTGTCTGTGCTTCTCTTCTGAGCCCCTCCCCGCTTTGTATCACCTCCTGTCTCCATCTGTGATGTGAATGATGGCTTGGCCTGGGATTTGCAGGGGCTTTTGCTCCTCCAGCTTACAGACGTGCTGCGGTGCACCTGACTTGCCCTCTGTCCTTGGCTGTACGTAGCTGCAGGGAGGGTTTCAGTCTCTATCTCACCCATGGCTGCCCCTTCCTCCTCCCAGGCCACCTTCTTCTTCTCCTTGAGCAAGTACACCCCCCTCAAGTACAACAACGTCTACGTGTACCCGCCCTGGGGATACTCCATTGGCTGGTTCCTGGCTCTGTCCTCCATGGTCTGTGTCCCACTCTTCACCGTCATCACCCTCCTGAAGACTCAGGGTTCTTTCAAGAAGGTAGGTGGTGCGGGGGAGAGTGACCTCTTAAGGGAGGGCACTGAGAGAGGCTGGACGTGAGGCAGGACACACGGCTGGGGCCAGGGAGCAGACACATACTCTGTGGGGCAGCCCTTCAGTCTCACAGAATCTTAATGAGACAAACTTTGAAGGCCAGTCCAGTGGCTTTTCAGAAATGTTCTGAAAAGTTCTAGAGTCCTAGACCTGCAGAATCTGACCTCCTGTGGATGACCTGGGCAGGCTAACCAAGGGCAAACTGCTGAGAGGTTCAGGAGAAAACTAAGTCACAAACATGAATAGGAAGGTGCCCAGACACAGAAGGTTTACAGACTCTAGATTTCTTGCCCTCGGAAAACTGGTAACCAGCAAGCACAGTTCACTCCACACACAGGCTCCTGGCTTTTCTTCTTCCTGGGGACACACCCAAGAGGCTCCCTGTTTAGAGTTTGGGACATGTCCTCCTGGAAGGAGCTATAGCCAGTGACCCACAAAGGCAGAAATCTATCTTGCCTATAAATAATAGAAAACCCAATCTACAACAGTTTTAGCAAATAGGCTTATTTGTTTTTTACATTTCAAGAAGGTCAGAGATTAGGGCTGCCGGTATTTGGTTCGGCTGCTTAAAGAAGCCCGTAGGGACCAGACTTTTCCTGTATTTCTACACTTCCATCCTGAGCATGCTGTTTTTTCATCATCATGTTGATCACCTCATGGTCACAAGAAGGTTGTCATGATTCCGTCATCACATCTGCATTCAAGGCAAGAAGAAGGAGGTACCACTGATAAGAAGAAAAATAATAGATACTTATTGAGCACATAACAAAAGTAACAATCGGAAAACAAAAACAGATATTTATCAATCACCTACTCTGTGCCAAGCACTGTTCTGTGAGATGTGTTCTACTATTATTCCCAATTTACAGGTGAGAATATTGAGGGGATTAAATTAACAGAGGGGTTCCGTGAGTGACCTTAGATGGCACAGGTCGGTAGCAGAGCCAGAGCTGGAACCCAGGCAGTGCACACTCGTTCGCAGTCACGGTATTATTGCCTCCCCTCTCACCTCAAATGGTTCACTCATTTACCCACGCATACGGTGCAGTGCTGGCCATGTGCTCCGCTCTGGGCTGGGCCCTGGGGATGCTCACACGAGGAACCTTCTGTGCCTCCCTCACCAACGGCTCCAATCCCTGCCTCTTCTCTCCACAGCGCCTGCGTCAGCTCATCACCCCTGACTCCAGTCTGCCACAGCCCAAGCAACACCTCTACTTGGATGGCAGCGATGGCCGGGACTTTGGGCCCTCCCCAGCAAAGGAAGGACTAATAGCCGGGGAGAAAGAGACCCATTTGTAGGGTGTAGCCAGAGGTCAGGCGGCTCCTAAGCCGGGAACCTAGGTCAGGGCCACCCTCCATTCTCAGCGGACAGCCTCTGCCTCTGTCTCCTGCCACAGTCCTGCTGGGAACCTCTGGAGAGCCACAGGCACCCCCAGCTGGAGGCCAGACTCCTCTCCTGTGCTAGCTGGAGCAGCTCCTTCCCCTGTGCTGACAGCACTACCACTGGGACGCGCCATGTTGGGAAGCCATCCCTGTGGGACGGCACCATCGTTTTTATAAAGGGGGGTCTTTTTGGAGGCCACCATCTGATTGTAACGCCTCGAGTTATGAGGAGTCCGCTGTGGGGGTGGCTCTTGTTAGAGCTTACTGCATTTGTACACCGGGAGAGGAGCTCTAACTGGCATGCGCACTGCCGTCCGATGTGGAGAGCCTGATGGGACATACCCTGTTGGAAGTGACACTGAGCAACTGCGCTGTATCGGAGGTTCCCTTACGGCGGTTCTCCTAGGCTTAACCACCAGAGGCAAGCACTTCACACGCCCTCAGGCTGGAGTCCTCCTCCCGAGGTCTCTCATGGCACTGTCGCAGCCCCCCCTAGTTCCACACTGTTCTTGTGGTGTTTCACAGCTCCTGGAGCACTTGGGAATGGAGGGGGGCTGTAGCGAGAGCATGATCCCTCAGACTTCCACAAACACACGGCATGCCTCCGTACTGTGCATTCACTGCCCAGGCCGACACTTGGCTAACTGATCACAGACCTCTTTCCCACCTTCACAATCCTTCAAAGCGCTCAAGGCAGACACCCGTTAGCAAACACTTGACCTCTCTAAACGCCAAAAACCGCTGACTTCCATGGATGAAGAACTGGAGACACACAAAGAGACAAAGGAGGACACTTTTCAATGTTCCACATGGCCCTTCCACTTGAAGCGCGGGACGCTCATGCCTAAAAATCCTACATATACATCCATACTTTGCATCAGAGCCAGTGTCTACCCATTAAAACCCCGCCTGCAGCTATAGTTATAAAAGTGATGATAGAGACTTGACCTTGCCACCTCGGTGAGGTCTCCTATTGCCTCCATTCGCTGTTGCAGCACTATTGCCACTTAGCGCGGTGGGGGAAGAGAGGCACATCTCGTTGGACGGTGGTGACGAGAGCATCTCCCCAAAATTCTTAGGGCCCACATCCCCCTTGGTAATACCCGCCATCAGCACGTCTCAACCCAAATCACCTGGACCCACCTGTCGCTCCACGATCCTCTTTGCGTTCCTCCTCGTCCTTCGCCCACCTCTTCTTCCCCCAGGAATGCATTGGAGTTAGCAGAGAGTCTCCAGTGAGCGGGTTGGGGGTGACTCTACTATAGCTCGCCACCCACGTGGTTCCACAACCCCAAATTTCTCACCCACTCACATACATATTCCCACACCACCCTAACCAAAAAAACCAACACTCCAACTCAGACAACCCTCATTCATATGGGCTGAGAAAGGCATGCCTGGAGGAGGAAATAGGAACAAGGGCTCTCTGCACGCAAGGTTCAATGCTACTCGTGTTACGGAATGGGAAGGGAGGCGAGCGGACTGGGGCAGGGAGAAGAAGAATTTTCGGGGCAGTATTCCGGGGACAAGGAGCCCCCTAAGGTTGCAGAGAACGGCGAAGATACGCAGTATATCAGATCCAAATCGGCAGCCCCGCCAGTGGCTGCAGGCAAAATTCAGGTTCTGGCTGGGTGAGATCCGTTCCTCGACCCCGCGCACCATTGCCAGCGCAGCGGCCAATCTTGCTACCGACCTAGACATACCCTACTGGACCCGATAGACTCAGTCCCGCACCTGTCGCGCCCCCGCCTCCGCGCGCTCAAGAACGCGCCGCGCGCAAACCACGACCGACCAGCGGGCCACAGAGCTGAGCGGCACCGGCTTCGGCGCGCTCGTCCGCAGACGCGCGCGCGCGCTCTCGGCGGCACAACAAGAGGGCGAGGCCGACAGACACGCCCACAAAACAACCCACAAAACCACATCCACCAAAAACCCCACACCAAACCACACCAACAACAAATCCAAAAACCAATTAAACAACACAGCTGCGGCCAGTCGCAAAGAGGAGGCAGAAGAGAACGCGCGCCCGTCCTCCGGCCGCCCGCCCGGGCCCACAGCACGCGGCGCGCGCTCGCTCGTCCGGCTCCGGCCCGCCGACCGCCTCCCCGCTGCAAACGCACCATCCCGGATGGAGAAACGCCACAGAGGCTCCAGCTCCCGAGCAAACGGCTCTCAGCAGGACCAACGCCTGCCCCGTCTTGCACGAATGCCCCCCGCCCGGCAGACCACCCATCAGCCACCCTCTCACGCGCCTGAACACCAGAACTCAACTGAGCAACTGCGCCAACCACACCACGGCGCCCCACTCGCTCCGCTCCACATATTCCTCTGGCATGAGTCGAAGGGACTCTGCTACGGCGCACGATGCACGCAGGGACACCACGCGGAGCCGTGCGCGGAAGAGGCTTCGTGCACCACCCCTGACTCAAGCCCACGCTTTCAACAGACTCCAGAGCATAATGGCTTCCAACCCACACGCAAGGGCAACTGGTTCCTCTCGCCTCGCCCCGGCACGCACACAGGATATACAGCGTGTTGTTGCGCCTATGTGTGTGTGGTGTAGTATGGCGGCAAAATGTGTGATGTAAGCGCGCGCAGCTGTCTCGGGTCGTATATTGGCATTTGCTTTCATCTCATCCACCAATACCGTGTGGTATCCGCAGACTGGAAAACCCGTGCCAAGCAGAGGCCAAATCTAGGCAGCAAACTAATACCACTTGTCATTGGCACACTGTGTATGCAGCGGAAACACACTGATTTTCGCAAAGCATCGCCCTCGCCACTCTATAAGTTCTGCAAACAGGAACCCTCCCCAGTTCCACTGTAATACACCTGATTTTCACAGACTCATCACGTTCTGCAGACATTTGAATCAAAACCTCGCTGCCGCGCGCAGACTGAGAGAACCAAGTCTGGCACGGGAAGGGAACAGGCTCAAGCCCTTGGCTGCGATGCAAAGCGGACAGATATGCAGAGGGCAAGGGTCTGAAGTCCACAGGTCCTGGGCCTCAAAAGGTGGTGTGCAGAGAGAAAGCACCACAGGCTGTCCACTCGCTCCTGTGCTGGCACCTCACCACTCCTTTGATGTTTCATTAATCCTGGATCAAGTCCCTCCCCGCATGGGACTGTCTCCTCTGAAGAAGGTGGTAGTGCTCTCCTCGAATTTAGAGGCTGCATCTCAAGTGGCAGGGCCAAGCAGCAGCCCACATGGCAGAGATTTGCACCAAGCCACTGTCTGGGGCACGTTGACCCAAGTCCACAGTAGAGAGGTCCCATGTGGAACCGACGGCCTCCCACAACGTCAACAGCACGCAGCCGTTGGCAGCGAAGACGCTGCCTAGAAGTGTATCCTCCCAGCTGGCCAAGGCTTCTAGTGGCAGCAGCCCTGGCTGAGATAGGGACTGCGGCTTCACCGAGGGCCTGAGCCAGAAATGCCCAGCCAAGTGGGTCCCGAATGCCTGACCCCAGTGGGAGGTGAGAAATGCATATGGTTGTTTTAAGTCGTGAGTTTTGGGGTGAGTTTTTTACATAGCAGTAGGTGACTAATACCCATCCTTGGGTCCAGCTGCTCGCAGTTCCTTGGCCTGGCTGACAGCGGCTGGTGGCTGCTGGTGGAAGGTCTCGGCTCCTCCCATGTGGGCTCTGTTGGGTCGAGTGCGCCCCTGGACAGTCGAGCTTCAGCGTGCACTCTGGCATGTGGGTGCTGTTGCGGCCACTTCCCAGAGCGCAAGAGTCACCCTCTTTGAGGGTCAGGCGTGGCCCCTGTTCAGAGGCGTCCCTCAGCCCCCCGGTTCCCTTCTGCCTGAGCCCCTGCCTCTCTCCCACAGCCTCACCTCCTTTGATCCCTCCAGAGCTCTCCCCTGACCCTGGGCTTACCCTCTCCTTGGCATGAGGAGGTGAAGACTGGCTGTCTCTGTCCCTGCCACCTCCGTGCTCGCATGCCCAGCTTCCTGGCAACCCAGCCCACACAGCTTCCCTGCGGGTTCTGCTGCTCAGTGAAGTAACAAGGGCTGATTGGATCTGACAGGGATGAGGAGCTTGTTAACCACCCATTGATGCAGTGGCCATGGGAGGATGTGTTTGCCAGAGAGGATGGGGAGAGATGAGAGCCAAGCCTGGCAGGTGGCACAGGGTTGAGGTGGGTCAGTGCCCTGGGCCCTAGCGACCTGCATTCCAGTGCCCTCTGCTTCCAGTCTGGCCACAGCAGGGCAGATTGCCTGTCAGGTCTGAGGAGCCTGCTGGCCTGTGACTGGGAAGTAACTGACTGGGGAGACGAGCACAAGTTGCCAGATGATGCCACAGAGAGGAGAGCTTGCTCCCTGCCAAGGCTGAGCCCTTGCAGGCCCGTGTTCCTCCACAGGGTCAGTGCCCAACCCATGGCTGTAACAAGAGTCTAGCGGAAACTTCTGGTGTAGTCACATTCTGAGGCTTTTTCTGCCCAAGCACATCTCACTCACACACAGAGGGTGGCTGTCACATCCACAAGGCCCTGGCCCCGAGGCCAGAACTCTGACGCCGCACCTCAGCATGCGGGACTCGAAGTGGGCAAATCCTCTCCCCAAGCAGGACTCAGTCCCCGTCTCACTAAGACCCCCGGCACAGGGAGCAAGCAAAGGTAGCCAGAGTGGGTCTTCAACAAGTGCAGTTGGAATTTGGGTCTGTCATTGAGAGGGGGGTCCCGGGGGAGCAGGACAGAGAGCAGCCATGACGGCGGGTGGGGCGTGGGGACCCGCCTTAGCCGGCCAGCTATCCGGAGACCTGGGCTCCCTGTCCAGCCTCAGCCTTTTCCTCTGGGTTAATTGTAATAGTTTTTTTCCTCTTGGTTCTTTAGGGTGTTTTACATAGACAATCAGACTGTCTGGAAATAATGACAGTTTTATTTCTCCAATCATGATTCTTTTTCTTTTTCTTGTCTTCCTTCATTTGGTAACTAGAAGTGGTGGCAGCAGGCATCCTTGCTTCCTTTCTGGTTTTGACAGGAACCCTAACATTTCATTAGTATGACGGCTGCTTTTTTTTTTTTTTTTTTTTTTTTTTTTTTGAGAGACAGTTTCATTCTGTCGCCCGGGCTGGAGTGCAACTGCGTGATCTCAGCTCACTACAAACTCTGCCTCCCGGGTTCAAGCGATTCTCCTGCCTCAGCCTCCCCAGTAGCAGGATTACAGGCATAAGCCACCATGCCTGGCTAATTTTTGTGTTTTTAGTAGAAACGGGATTTCACCACGTTGGCCAGGCTGGTCTCAGGCTCCTGACCTCAAGTGATCCACTCACCTCAGCCTCCCAAAGTGCTGGGATTACAGGTGTGGGCCACCATGCCTGGCCGGCTGATGACTTTTGATAGATACCATTTACTTAGGCTATGAGGGTTTCCTCTGTTCCAAGTTCTGTAGGTTTTTTTCAAATCAATAGTAAGGGTTGAATTTTATGGATTGCTTTTTCTTCATCTATTGAGATGATCATATTGTTTTTCTCCTTTGTTACTGTAACGCAGTATTATATTTTTCTAGTACTTAATCATCTTTTGATTCCTGGGACAAACCCTACTTGGTTATGGCATATCTTTTTTTGTCATTCAATACTGGGTTTGGTAGGCTAATATTGTGTTTAGAATTTCTGAATTTATGCCCATAGCAAGATGGGTTGGTAGTCTTGTCTCATGTCGTCCTTGTCTGCTTTAGTTTTTGTTTTTAAGATTACACTAGGCTCATGAAAAGGAGTTTGCAGATGTTCTTTCTCTTTTCTGAAAGAGTTAATAGGCTATTGGGATTATCTGTTCCTTGAAGTGTAGTAGATTTTGTAAATCGTCTGGCCTGGTGTTGTGTGATTTTTCTTGGGGGTGGGGGTGGGCAGTGGTAAATACTTTCCTTCTTTTTTATTTTTTTTTGAGACAGAGTCTCACTCTGTCGCCCAGGCTGGAGTGACGTTAATTTTT